GCCTGCCGGCTCCTCTCGGGCAGAGGGAAGCAGGACAGACCCCCCCGCGCGGTTCGGGTGCCTCCCTGCTTTATTTGCAGCTATCAGTGGGGCATCAGGCAGGTTTTGTGTTTGTTTTTTGGAAGGGCAGATGGTCAGGGCAAAATCACGTGTTTGCTTGGCCCCGGGGGGGTTCCCCTGCCCCGTTGTTTGCTGTCGCCCCTCTCTGTTTGGAGACGACGGGGCAAAACTTCCCTGCGCGGTGCGGCCCGGGCGACTGCTCCTGGTGCGGGGCGGCGGGGGCTGCAGCAGCTCACAGCCACCCCCTGCTGCCTCCCCCCCAGCTCGTACCCACCTCACAAAACCTTGGGGGCAGATGCAGCCTCTTCCCCCATGCTTACGTAGTTTCTGGCACAAGAGGAGGGCATCCGAGCCGGTCCCGAGGGAGCCGAGCCGGTGGCCAGGGCTGACTCCGTCCTCCCTCGGCAGCCCGGGGGGTGATTTGTGCGGCCTCCCTGCCTTTTCCCTGCCTGGAGATGAACCAAAGCTGAAGGCGTAGGGTACCTGGATACCAGAACCGGTACTCTGAGCGAATTCGCCCTGTGGGCTCTGCTTTACCTTGGGGTTGGATCTCCAGGCAAGCAAATGCATAAAACTCCAGTGGTTTGGGTGGCGTTTGGCTGCTCCGCTCCTTGCAGAATCTATCCCTCTGCTTTTGAATGTGCTTTTGTTTGCTTTGAAAGACGAGGGTTATGAATTCTGCCAGGTGACTTCCCTGTAATCCCCTTTTCCAAAAGATACCTCTCGCAACAGGCCAGGATGTCCTTTTGCTCTTTTATGGAACTCAGACAAAGTTTACTGAGGGCTGTCCATGAATTTCACGTTGCTCATAGATTTCCCGTATCAGATTTTTTAAAGACACGCTGTAATGCTCCGGAGATGCTCCTGCCTCCCCCTTACCACCACCTGCGACCTCTGCAAACCCCCCAGGAAATAAGGTTCTCAGTCTCAAGTGAAAGCAATTCTCCGAGTTCCTGATTCCTAATGAAAACAGAACTTTGAGGGCTGATGTTACCGCTACGCGGCTGGAGCTCCAGGGGGCACAAACGTATCTGGCAGTGAATTTCCGGAGATGCATGCGGAATCGCAGACCTGGAAGCCACCCCGGGCAGCCACCGCGGGGGGTTCCCAGGGGCTGTGGCTGCTCCCCGGGGCTGCGCCTCCTGGGGGGGGGCAAGTGCTTGTGGAAGTAAAACACCCCCTCCCCTGCCGCCCGTCCCCTCCCCGGGACCGGGGCCAAGCCAAACCCAGCAGGCTCTGCTGGCCGAGGCTCCACGTGGTGCTGCCAGCCTTCCTCTTCGGTTCCGGTGGGTGCTGCCGCTCGTGCTTGCGGCTTATCCCTTTGAAAAGGAAAGGCTGTAGCCCTGATGGGAGAGGAACCAGATTAAAGGGGGAAAACGCATTGTGGAAAAGGCAGGGAACAGTTTCACAGGCACTGTGCGCTGTGTAGGACCAGTAAATACCAGTAACCACCAGTGGGGACGCTCCCTCCTGCTTTCAGTGAGTCACATTTAGAGTTTCAATCTTCAGGTTTTCTTTGGGAGAGGAAAAGCACAGCGCGCTCAGCCCGGGCCGCAGCTCTGGGCGTCTCCGTTTCCACTTGCTTTGCTGTTCAGCCCTTCTGTCCGATGATGCTTCAGTAGCACTTTCAAACCCGTCCCCAGTTCTTCCTCTTAGAAGCTTTTGGTCTGGTTTTCTTACGCCACGCAGAGAAATCCTGGCCGGTGCAGTGACTTGCTTTGAGGGTCTGCTCTTGGTTTTGCTCGCTTTCCCTGCGAAGCTGCTTGAGTCTGTGGGCGTCGTCGTTCGCGTGGTGTTGATCTCCGTGAGATCTTTCAGCAGCAGACGCGGTGGCTGCTGTCAGCTGGCGTTTTCGGTTTTGGGTTTGGTTTTGGTTTTTTTTTTTTTTTTACTTGAAACTGTGACTTTCCTTTTCCACCTAGATTGATTTGCAGAATTATTTGAGAGGGATGAGCAGGCAGGCAGGATAGCGTGAAGCTTCAGGGAGAGAGACGCAACGCGTCGGGCTTGTCTTTCCCCGCGCCAGCCTGCTGGGCCGGCAGCGGGGCCCGGAGCTGAGGTCTGGCACGGCCAGCAGCTCCTGCGTGCTCCGGGACATTCCCAACAGCACTCCCCACGGCGGGGCGGGTCGTAGGGACCTGCTGCAACGCTCTGAATAGCGACGGGGCTTCTAAAGCTCCTGTCCCAGCCAGGCTCTCGCACGGTGCCTGCGCTGTGTGTGTGCGGCGAGCGCCTTTCGGCCCGGGATTGTCCCAGATTGTCCCGCAGCGGCGCTGGGGACCGGCCAGCAGCTGTGTCAAACCTCGGAGGCGTTTGCCTTCCCAGCAGTGGGGGAAGGTGTTCCTATATATATATATATATATATTGCAAAATGTTTTGTGCTGATAAGTGACACACACACACATATATACATATATGAAAGGGATTATTTTTTTTTATATATATATATATGTATAAAAAAAAAGAAAGGATCCTTAACTGACACTAAAACTACTGGGCAGTGCATTCTCCTTTCAGATCCCCACTGTTCCCATGCACATAACTTCTACCAGACTGGGATGTGAGTTTGCGCAGGGAGCAGAAGGGGCTCGGAAACGCGGCCGGGGGAGGATTGGGGCAGCCCCCGGCTGCGTGACGGGAGGGGGTCTCTCCTGTCGCAGGGCGTTGCTCCCCTTCTCACTGGGGTTTTGATCCCCTGCCTGCCCCTG